CTGACTAGCTGAAAGATGAAGCCAGCTGACATGAACTAAAAGCGAGAACCATTGCTAGCCAAGAGTGATTTTGGGCGGTTGAGTAAATGGCCAGAGTTACAACGAGCAAAGATGTAGATGGAGAAGGAACGGTTCGAAGACGAAGCGAATTGCAAGTTTTGTCTCCAAAGTATCGTTCAACCTGCAATTAAATAGACCCACCGGTGCTACCATTGTAGGGGATTCAGTGCAAGAAATAGGTTCTACGGGGAGATGGCGCTAATGCATAGGGCCAGACGAACACCGTGTATGGGACTGAGCCTGTGGAAGAGGCAAACCGAAAGTACGGCAGAAAACCTGGTTGGTCCAATTCGAACGAATGTTTCATCGGGATAGAATGAACTCGCTCCAGATGCGGTTAGGGCCAGGTGAAAATTTCGCTATTAGTTGCTTACGCAGGTTCGAGTGGGCGAGAGGTTGTAGTGGAGATTCTAAGGAAAGAAGTTGCTGGGTTGCCACCACAATGGGTGTAGCAATGCAATGCTATCAGTGCACTGACATCCTTTGGTTCATGGACATGTAGTGGAGATTCTAAGGAAAGAAGTTGCTGGGGTGCCACCACAATGGGTGTAGCAGTGCAATGCTATCAGTGCACTGACATACTTTGGTTTATGGACAGGCCCGCAACGGTCGTCAAAGATGCCGCAGTCGGAGAGGGGCTACTCATTTTCGTGTCAGCCGGATCTGGGTAAGGTGGGAAGAGTAACCAGATATAGTCAGGCCGATGCAGAGTCATGGAAGCTCTTCTTTCAGTTGGAGGACCATGTGACTGTGACGGGAGACCAACCAGATTGAATAAACAACAGTTGTACGGGACGTTCGGGAAGCCACAGTCGGAGGTTGAAGCTTGGTAAAAGGAAGAATGAAGAGGGGATAGGATGGGAGCCCTATCGTCTAGTGAGTGCCGGGAGGCATCAGATAAAGCGGTGTCAATGGATAAAAATCTAAAAGGGATGATAACACGCCAAATGAACCCAGAAGTGGATTTGGTTGGTCCAATTCGAACGAATGTTTCATCGGGATAGAATGAACTCGCTCCAGATGCGGTTAGGGCCAGGTGAAAATTTCGCTATTAGTTGCTTACGCAGGTTCGAGTGGGCGAGAGGCTGTGGTCGAGATTCTGAGGAAAGAAGTTGCTGGGTTGCCACCACAATGGGTGTAGCAATGCAATGCTATCAGTGCACTGACATCCTTTGGTTCATGGACAGGCCCGCAACGGTCGTCAAAGATGCCGCAATCGGAGAGGGGATACTCATTTTCGTGTCAGCCGGATCTGGGTAAGGTGGGAAGAGTAACCAGATATAGTCAGGCCGATGCAGAGTCATGGAAGCTCTTCTTTCAGTTGGAGGACCATGTGACTGTGACGGGAGACCAACCAGATTGAATAAACAACAGTTGTACGGGACGTTCGGGAAGCCACAGTCGGAGGTTGAAGCTTGGTAAAAGGAAGAATGAAGAGGGGATAGGATGGGAGCCCTATCGTCTAGTGAGTGCCGGGAGGCATCAGATAAAGCGGTGTCAATGGATAAAAATCTAAAAGGGATGATAACACGCCAAATGAACCCAGAAAAGAGTGGATTTGCTTGCTGAAACACAAACCAGTTGCTGGCTAGGCCATGATAGGTGCTCAATTTTGAAAAGGTAAGGACTTTATCACTGCTAGCAGGGGAGCTAGCCGTTAGACTGATTGGAACGGGCGACCCCACGGTGGCGGTATTCATCCTACCAAAAGAATCCGGAAATGGGGCTTTCGCTGCGCAAGGAGGGGGCTAATGTGATCAGGGACAGTGAATAAATGACAAGTGGTCGGGCGACAGCTTCCGAGACAATGGATAAGAACCACAGTTTAGCTGAAATCTGCTACGTCAACTTAACAGTGAGATGAAACCAAGGGTCTCCACTCACCGAGTCACTGCTGTCGGCTCCAAGAAGCGAATGGATCGTGGCGAAAACAGTCATTAGGCGACACTTCAGACTGCTTGTATTCAGAAATTAATGAGGAATTTAAATTCTATATGTACACGATCAGAGAACAAGTGGAAGGAGCGCCTATTATATCTGGACGATGAATTGGTCTTAAAGTGGTGAAACCCAACTAAGACGAAGGTGGCGGCTCCCGCATGTCGAAGTTAGCCATAAGCCTCGCACAATACCTTCAAGTTACCCCATCGCCATTAGACTTTTACTCAAAGTATACTTCTATAGAAGAGAACTGTTTTTTGCGCAATGCGATAGAACTTTAGTTCGTCATTCTTGTTCGCACATACACTGATTTAACTAAGGCATGAAATGCCCATGGTCGAGCAATTTTCTCAATGGTTATAAATTTTAGTTCAGAACTACCCAATGTTATTTTCAACGTACTTCATATATGCTGTTTCCGTTATCTCAATATCAAGTTTTCCCGCTTTTGTAGCCTATCTAAGCTACCATCATGTCACTGAGGGTTACCATCACGGCTGCCCGACGCACACCGTCCCCAAGTTGTAATGACTTGGTCATGCCGGTTTTTTCACGGGTCCATTTGTGTCTGACACCACTTATTTGTACAAAAACGGTCAATTTTTCGATATCTTTCCGGCCGTACTTCTATGATCATGCCGTGGTGCCACGAGCGTGAGCTCCCTGCTACTTGAGTGCAAACGTTTATGAATAGCAACACCCATGGCTGCCTTGAGACCCAGGATTCACATCTGAGATGACCCAGTGAAATGATGATGCAAGAGCCAGCCGTGACTTCCACCTGGGGAAGGTGAAAGATGTATGAAGTTGGACTCCCTGCCGGGGTGAGTTGCTTCCGTCTACCACTCCGTTCTTGGTGGAGTATTCCGTGCACACACTTGGGTTTGAATCGGGAAAAAGGGCGATACAAATTGAGAATGCGGAAAATAATATGCAGAGAACGACTGCCAAGCTGGCGGAAATTCCTATATGACATGGAAGATTGAACAACTCACCTAAAAGTAAGCATTCATGCTTCAGCATTTTCCACCGGTTCGCTTTTGGTTCTGTATTTGCGCTTCCTTAAGCTAAAGCACTTTATGTTGTATATTCCATTCCTCAGATTTCGCACATCTCGCGAAGCTGGTGTTACGGCCGTAAATATTTTAAGGATGATTCGGAAAACCTGATCGCAAATGCTTTTGGGTAAAACACCCTATCACGAATTCCGGCCAGATGACCTGTAAGGGTGGATTAGAGCAGTGCTATCACCTGGCCTTAAAAATGAGTTAGCGACTTGTGCGTATGCAGAACGCAAAGAATCACTTATCGGAATTACTTATCGAACAGCACTATATGTGAATGCTTGAATTACCATTAGGCGCGACCGCTGATTTGTTTACTGATACATGTGATGACTGGAATTCTGCCCAAAACACCCTCCTGCTAACTCACGTCCCACTGATTGTGGCCTATTTTTGTAGCTAAAGAAAGAGATCTCCAAACGGGAAGATCCAACTTCGACCACATCTAGCCGAAGAGATATTTTCCCAAGCAGGACAAAGCCATGGACGGAGTTTGTTCACAAGCCGATTTATTTTCGGCTCAGGTTGGAAAACTTGTTTCGTTATACGCTGAATTCCCTCTCGGTAGTTCCTCTTTGACTCGTCTAGCACCGAACTTTTCTGACCTCCTGCATCGAAGGATTATGAAGAACAGAGTGGGGGCGTTTTTCACTATCAGATGGCGGTCTTTTATGGAGGTTGTCTGCGCACTATGAATCTAATATCTATTACTTTACTCCTCTTTTTCGGCGATAGCATCTATCTACCCAATCTTTGCTTCTAACCTCCCTTTATTTTTATCATCCATTCATCATTCATCTCCGTGCCTCACTACTTTACTATCATTCGCAATTTGTTCACTTGTCTATTATATTTATTTATTTATTTATTCATCCATCATTCCATTAATCCATCTGTCTATCTACCAGCCCGTTTTTTCCATTCCTCTTGTTTTCGTCTTGCATTCCTCTCAACACTGTCTCTGCTTCCTCCATCCCATATCCACTTTTTCTGGAGATTTCGTCCTGTAAGTGAAGCCAGTCTTTGCCGGAAGGCCGAGAAAAACTGTACAGCTGCTTAATTCTCATTGAGACCTATCAGCAATGTGCGTCTCACGAAACTTCGGAGACCTCCTAGCTAATAGTTTAAGCACTTAGGCGTTCGGGCACAAGCGGCTGCCCAGCAGTTTGTTGAACTCGCAATTGGACAGGATATAGCGCCACTCATTATTAAATAACGGGATTCACATCATGCGGTCGCACGGGTTGATTGGCTCCTTAAACTGCTGATCCCCCGCCCGTGACTGAAAGTCCAATTATCGCGATTCGAGACTCTTCGCATTTTTGTGGGATGTGCACTGCTGATGATTACCAGTAAGGATGAAGCAGCTGTACAGTGCTTTTTGACCTTTCAGGATGGATTGACTTTGCTTACAGGACGAAATATATAAGAAAATTACCAAAACTACTCACATCACCGACAGATCCTCTTTGCCCATACATCCCCTCACTCGTTCTTCCGTTCCTTTGTTGAATTGGTTGTTCATTCGTGCCCACACCTTTTAGTTTCCCATTTTGGATCCATTACAGGGGTCATCAACTGACTCCTGAAATGAATAATCCGTCATCTGAGTAATGGATCGCGGGAGGGTTAGAGACCCAAGTATGCCCCTTCATGTATTAGTTCTGAGTACATCCACCGCCAGACATTAATTTTCAGAGGTTCGGCATTCTGAACCATAGATCATGGAGGTAATGATGTTCTGAATTTGGTGGAATTGACACAAAAATTCGATTCACGCTTTTTACGGAGTTTAATTGCTGAGGTCGGTAAATTGTTTTACTACTCCACAAAATAAAAAGTTACTTGCACTTTTGAGCAAATATTATGAAATAATTTGTCCGTTGTTCTTGAGTTTCCCACGCATCCCTTTATTTGCATAGGGGTTCGATTTATATGAGCGGAGAGGCATCCTACAAAGACAAAGGATGGGCTTGGGTCGTTGTGTTCGGCGCATTTATTTCCCACTTTCTCACCTGTGGTTTTGAGAAAGGATATGCTATCCTCTATGTTGAAATCATCAACAAATACAACACTTCTGCTGCTATGGCTGCGGGGATCGGGGGACTGTCAGCTGCTATCAGATTGCTGTTTGGTGAGCTGCTTATTTTAGGTTAACCTTTCGCAGCTCCAATTTCGGTCACATTATCTAACAGGTTTAACGAACAGATCGTAGTGATATGTGGGGCAATAATGTGTTTCGGCGGCCTACTTCTGTCTGCAGTAACCGAGGAATTCATTGGGGTGGCAATCGGGTACGGAGTTATATTTGGTAAGGCGACATCTTCTCTCTCGTCTAACTAATTGTCTCAGGTTTTGGACTAACTTTGGTATACACTCCTTCACTGACAATATGCACGACCTATTTCAGTAAGAGACGCGCTACTGCCATCAGCTTATCCCTCTCCGGCTGTGGTTTTGCTGCTCTGTCGATACCATACCTCATAGTCTTCCTGATAGACCGATACGCGTACGACGGTGCAATGTTAATTCTCGCAGCAATAAGCCTTCACTATTCTGTCTCTGGAGCACTTTATCGAGACGTCCCAGATGACACTAAAGTGATCAAAGCCAAGGTTTACCCGTCAGACTGCACAGGCGATACGGTGCATTTGAAAACTGGACTTATGGAAAGGATGCGAAAGCTTATTCTTCAATGCATGCCGGTCGATGCTTGCACAAATATTGGAAGGGATCCCTGGATTCTTCTGTTTTTGTTTTCTTTTTGCTTCAACATGATGGGTTCTGGACCTGTTACCACACTCCTCATACATCATGCGGAAAATCTGGGCGTAAGTCCTAAATACCATGCATTATTATTCTCCACCAATTTAATCCGGTCGAAATGGATCACTATGCAAACTACCCTTGTAAATGCTCTAGCTAGGTTTTATTCGGATGCTAACGTTACTCGTCCTTGAATCCAGGAAACAAAACATGCAATATAATCAAAGGTACAGAAAAACAGCACGTCATCGAAACCAGAATGTGGTAGAGACTTCCGATGCAAGGACTTATCTAATCAAAAGTTGCGTTGATTTTACCTTTAATGTTTTTTGAGGTCTTGTTTAAAGATCCAACCAGGGTTTTTATGGATATTTTATATGATGAGAAACAGTCGGAAGACGTTATGTTCACTTTCGTAATCCCCTGGTCATTTCATTTAATGTTTTTTGAGGTCTTGTTTAAAGATCCTACAAGGGTTTTTATGGATATTTTATATGATGAAAAACAGTCGGAAGACGTTATGTTCAATTTCGTTATCCCCTGATCATTTCATCCCCTAAGCTATGCATAATATCAAGGACAGTCGGCAGGTTGCATTTCTTCCAACCAACCGATCGGAAAATTTATTTATTTTTCACGTGAAATTGACTTTTAAGATCGATGTACACAGTTCACGAGGCGGAAAGTACCACCTTATAACGCATCTGAACGGGCTCGTTCTCCAGTTTTTGCATATTGCATGAATCACTTCGTATGCTTAAGCATTGTGGCCACTGCTGGACACTAATGGGTAACTCGTTATATCGGCCTTCCTAAGGCCTTCTTAAACTACCCAACAAATATTTTCACTGGGACTTCCGAAGTTTGGAATTGGTCCCACTTGATTAGATAAACAATAGAAGAGTAAGGAGCAGGTGGCATAGCTTTTACGCTGCCACTGACTGGAAAGAGAATACAGTGGAATATCGTTTCAAACCGACAGTATTTTGACGTATGGTGCATAAGTGCAACAGAAGAAAATGTAGTCTTACTACAGAAAGCTCTAAGTTGCCATCGAAAGTTTCCTTCTGGCTGAAATCTCACAAACTCATTGTCAGATCGGGACAGCGTATTATGTGTGTACTTTGCACTGAGATAAACAGTCGTTAATTAAACTTTTTTACATTAGTCTCTTATGCTCGTAATCCCAGTCTAGAGCCGACTTCGGCGTCTGAAGGATTATTAATTTTTCAAATTTCAAGTTACGGTATTTCCATATACTGCAGTGATAGTTAAGTTAGTTAGCTCTCATTAGTTCTGAACCGCCCCCTTCTTTTTTTGTTGCATCCTTTATTTGTCTGGGTGGCAAGTGACTTTTCAAAAGTGTACTTATCAAGTGCACAACTTTAATGTATACATTACGGTGCACTGACAGAGAGACAGCCCTTCATCAACTGTCAAACACGACCAAAATATTAAAGTTCGCAATAAAAAGGAATCACTTCTGGGGCCAACTGACAACCATGAAGAACAAAGAATCTTTTGGCGTTTTCGGAATTTACCACAAAGGTGCATGATTTAGCCATCACTTTATACCCAGAAGAGTGACAATCTCATTTTTAAGTCACCTGCGTAACAGAAAATCCTAACGACTAAAAAGGGCTGATAGTGCTAACCTTAAGGAAGTAACCAGAAAATTGCAGTCTTCCGTTTGGCCGGTCTTCACGAAGGAGGTTGAGGTGGAGCTTCATGACTTTTGTGACGCCTAAGATTTGAGTTTTATTTTGCACACAGCCGAAGATTGATAGGCTTATTTTTGGGTATTCTGTGAAGGCAGTAGACCGGAAGGTCCATGAGCGTATAAGTTGAATTTTTAAATCTGTTCAGTCTTGCATTTGATCGGTTGAGAGTAACGTACGTTTATCAATAAGTTGAGTTACAGGGTGTTGGTAACGAGAAAGGGTCTTAAGAGTACGGCAGGACAGTCTTTGTAGCACACTTTGTGTGTCAATATTCCACAATAAGCAAGAGCAAATTTGTTTCAGAATCTTAGCAACAGATACGTTATTTTGGTATGATCGTACTAAAAAGATTGACTTCCTGAATGGTACAAACAATGAAGCAAGCTTACAAATTGGAACTGTCGGCAATAAGGGCAGCTAGCTGGTTTAGCTGGTTTGCCTCCAACCTTCTCCAACCTTAAGTTATCTCCAATGATATGTACGCATATAAATATGGAGTTGGTTTGGGAGTAGAGACAGACTATTGAACAGTGATCAAATGACACAATTGGGATATAACAAATGGACCTAACGCTTAACAAGCTTTCTCAAGATTGAGGAACTACTTTTTGGAAGTAGATGGTAGCTATCATGGGTAACCGTTTTAGTGAATTTTGGACGATCTATCTTTCAGACCCTGATAGTCACGGCAAATTATAACCTTTTCTGGTAAGCCCAATAACCGAGCGAAAGTTTTCATTCAGTGAGGGAGAGTTTAACACAGTAGTGAATGGAGGTAACGAGCCTAAATTTTGTGACGCAAGTTACCAATAAACCCATGACTTTTCATGGGTCATTGGAAAAATATGTCATATATCCAGGGGCTTTTGTACTTGAAACATAGTGTTGGGTTTCTTTTACATGTTCCAGAAAGACAACTTTTGGGCTTCATTGGCTTAATAGGGCGCTTCTTCAGGCGCGAGATACTCAGGTCACCTCCCAACTTCAAAGAAAACTGTCACAGTGTAATTTCTGGTACAGCCGCGACGCTGTTTCGAACGAGGACTCCCTCATACATCTAAATCAAAACAATAGAGCGGCGTGGGAAAAGTCTCTTCTTTTGGAACAAATAGTGAAACCGTTAACACGTGCTTACAGAGAAAATTGTACATACGCATATCACATATTTACACGGCACACAGTACTATTCTTGTCAGCGTCGATAACCACTGAGATCTTAGCATCAGAAATTATCGTCTAGAAACTCAGCCTATAGCTAATCCATTGTGACTTACACTAAGTTGAATGTGGCTTTGGCGTTCACGTCTATCCTTCTATTGATTGGCGTACATGTGTAACATGGCAGTTAGGCACAGAAAGAGCGCTTCAACTGGACGATTTTTTAAATATTTATTTTACCTTTCTATTGGTTAGCATGTACAGGTGGTCAGAATGACCACTGATTATATTTCTCCTGATCCCCGTGCATAAGTTGATGTTTATCAGTTTTCACAAAATGATGTGAAACTTTTAGTGTCCATTCCAGATATATTCCATTTTTTCATTAAGAGGAAGAACGTGTAATTTCTTACCTGTGAAATATAGCTTTGAAGCACTTTTGAACGACATCGCTAGAATGTGAACAACAGACAAACTACGAACATCATGTATATTGGGGAAGTACCTAGTTAGAATCATGCACCCCAGACTGCAACAGGAAAATTGGCATTTTCGCTTCCAATTCAGAATACTCTTCAAAACCCACAGAAGCAGCAGGGTTCTCGGGTCACTTTAGGCTTAAGGAACTACACGTTAGTGGACGTTGGTTGTAAATGTAACACGTTTGACACTTACGTTGTACATATAACGTTTTAACCATATTTTTACAATGGATGTCTGGCATATAATTTTCGTTCGTATTTGTGCATGAATACAGTGCACGTTGTCCACAGTTTCCCGCCGACCAAGCATTTGTTAAGGCTCAGAGTGATCTGTTAGCATTTATTATCCGCAGATTTTTCGTTCACAAGAACATCAATTTGGAGGCTAGGCTGCATTATCAGATGGGTGAGTAGCATGAGTGCCATGGATTCATTGTGGCATATGTGAATATTTCGGATGGTTTCATGACGTCTTACTTATCGTGAACGGGTGTCCAGCGGTGCTGAAAAAGCGACGTTGATCACAAAAGCCGAGTTGTATTTTTATTAGATGATTAGCTGTAGCAAATTATGTCTAAAATGGAGGTGCGTGTTGAAAATAGTGCGTGCTAATGTTGTTACATAGCTGAAATTTGTATCAGAAGGCACAGCATGTGAATCGTTTTCATTGTGGAAATTAAATTCCATCCGAAAGCTGCGTCTCCAAAATTTTTAGGCGGAAAATAAAATGAAAATTGTTTCATTGAAGTCGGAAATATAAATGTTTGTGTAAAATTTTTGGCTGTGTAGTTGGCCCAGTGAGAAAAGTAGTCAATGCATGGTGGTCACTGCACCACTAGATTTGGTTCGTCGAAAGAACGCAATAAAGGGAAGTTTAGCAGGTAAATATATTATTCTTTAAGTGTACCACCCCGATGTATATCATATAGCAACACTATTTACTGTAAACTACACGTACGTCACTCAATGCTGATGTGTACGAGAAGGGTGGCAGTAGGTTCGTATGAAGATCTGAGACAATAACTGGTCAACTATCCCCTGCGCTGAAGAGCTGTTGTAACCAAATCATGTCATACAACCTGCGCTTCCTAATTATGGTCCTTTGGCTACACCAAACAGAGTGCTTCATGCAACGAAAATCATCATCATCATTGTCAGCTGCAAGGATCGTGTACTAGTCGTACAGCGGTTGTGGCTGCCGCAAGTTTCGTTCCCGATGATTTTGGGAGGTGAAGTAGGTCGTTGCGCATTGGATGCGAGAGCTGACAAACTGGTGCGTAAATGCGGCGCTGCCATTGGGATTTTAAGTGAGCGAATTGAGAAGGGAGCTATGTATTGAAGGCAATAGCTTGGATGCACGAGCACCAATGAGGGCGCGATTGGGTCATGTCTGACAAGGATCACACGAACCTTGGTTCGTTTTTCTGCGTGGCTCCACTTTCAAGGCAGGCGTTGTTGTCTATGCATTGAGATTGCCAGGACTGATTGATTTCGTGGACGCATCAGCTGTACTTTGGATAAAGTTCACTTTGTCAGGTATTATGAAAGTGCGCGCAAGTTTGAAAGGCACTTTGATGAATTGGTTGACGATTTAGCCGGACTTCGCTTCGAATATAAACACACTTGAGGGTACGGACACATTGTTTGCGTTTTTTCGCCAACGGTTGTGGCGCACAATAACCTGGCTGGGAAGGGTTCATTGAA